AGACCCAGAATAGCCAAAGCAATCCTTAGCAAGAAGAGTGAAGCTGGTGGCATCACTATACCAGACCTTAAACCATACTAAAGGGCAACAGTAACAAAAACAGCATAGTATTGGCACCAAAATAGATTTGTAGACCACTGGTATCGAATAGTGGACACAGATACAAACCCACATAAATACAGTTATCTCATACTAGACAAAGGCGCCAAAAACATATATTGGAGAAAAGATAGCCTGTTCAACAAATGGTGCTGGGAGAACTAGAATCCATATGCAGCAAAATGAAATTAAGCCCCTATCTCTCACCATGCATAAAACTCAACTCAAAGTGGATCAAGGACCTAGGAATTAGACCAGAGACCTTGTATCTAATGGAAGAAAAAGTGGGCCCAAATCTTCATCATGTTGGATTAGGCTCAGACTTCCTTAACAAGACTCCTATAGTGCAAGAAATAAAATCAAGAATCAATAAATGGAATGGATTCAAACCAAAAAGCTTCTTCTCAGCAAAAGAAACAATCAGTGAGGTGAAGAGAGAGACTACAGAAGGTGAGCAAATTTTTAGCACATGCACATCAGATAGAGCAGTAATCTCTAGGATATATAAAGAACTCAAAAAACTTAACACTAAAAAAATAAATCACCCAATCGATAAATGGGCTAAGGAACTGAACAGACACTTCTCAGAAGATGATATACAATCGATCAACAAATATATGAAAAAATGTTCAACATATCTAATGCAAATCAAAACTACTCTAAGATTTCATTTCACTCCAGTCAGAATGGCAGCTATTAAGAATACAAACAACCATAAGTGTTGGTGAGAATGTGGGGGAAAGGGCACAATCATACATAGCTGATACAACTGCAAATTGGTACAACCAATCTGGAAAGCAGTATGAAAATCCCTTAGAAAACTTTGAATGGAACCACCATTTGACCCAGATATCCTACTCCTCGACTGATACCCAAAGGTCTTAAAAACAGCATACTACAATGATGCAGCCACATCAATATTTATAGCAGCACAATTCACAATAGCTAAATTGTGGAACCAACCTAGATGCCCTTCAATAGATGAACAGATAAAGAAAATGTGGTATATATGCATAATGAAATATTACTCAGCATTAAAAGAGAATAAAATCATGGCATTCACAGGTAAAATGGATGAAGTTGGAGGATATCATGCTAAGTGAAGTAAGCCAATCCAAAAAAACCAAAGGCCAAATGTTTTCTCTGATATGTATATGCTGATCCATAATGGGGGTGGACAGGGAGCATGGAAGGAATGGAGGCACTTTAGATAGGGCAAAGGGGAGAGAGGGGAGGGCAGGGGGAAGGGAGGGGGCACGGGGTGGGGAGGTAGGAAAGATGGTGGAATGAGATGGACATCATTACCCTAAATACATGTATGAAGACATGAATGGTGTGACTCTACTTTGTGTACAACCAGAGACATGAAAATTGTGCTCTATATGTTTGGCTATGAATTGAAATGCATTCTGCTGTTGTGTATAACAAATTAGAATAAATAAATAATTTTTTTAAAAAAGAGACAATGGAGCAATATCTTCAGAGTTCTGAGAGGAAAGGACTTATTATGTACACCTTTAATGCACTAATAAAAATATCAGGGTTTATTTTGACATGATGAAAATAATTGAAAATAATTTGCTCCCATTCAGTTCCTAGTACTTCCCCTTTCCTTTACCCCTCCCTCCCCTTTTTCCCTTTCCTCTACTCTTCTGGTCTTCTATTTATTTAGAGTCTTCTTTTAAATTAGTGCACTACAGATACACGTAAAGCTAAAAACTCACTTGGTACTAGTCACATACGTACATGGGACAGTTTGGCTGGTTTCTTTCCACTGTTCCTCCCACTTCTGGTCCCTCCTCCCTCCCCTTTAATCCTCTTCTTCAACTCCACTGACATCTCCTCTCTTTTCATGGGATTTCCCCTGCCTTCCCCCACTCCCCTTTCCCCTGTTTTTGGTCTTCCACATAGGAGAGAAAACATTCAACCCTTGACTTTCTGGGTTTGACTTATTTCACTTACCCACTCAAACTGCCACTGAATTATGAAATGAAATGAAATGCTTCGGCAAGTTCCCCAAAGTTTTTTGAGGATGATTTACCAAAAAGAAATTGAAGAAACAGACATGAGTACAGGGAACACTGATGAGCAAACAAACAAGTAAACTTAGAGATAAATTTACATAATTGTTTATAATAAGATGATTAATAAGAATTCAGGAGGAAAAATCCCTTGATCTCCAAACTGGACATAGTGGGGGCAGGAGATGCAGAGGAAGAGTGTGCCAAAGTCCTAGTGGGAGAGGCAGGAGGGCAGGTGGGGAGAATGGGGTTGGGGCAGGAACAGGAAGTTTAGATATTGAGAAGATTCCTATAGGTTTAAAGATCCTAATTTAAACTAGAGGGGTTAATACACAGTGAACAACTGGAAGGAGAAAATGAAAACAGCAATGATGAAGAGCACGGTTAAACCAATGGGAGGCAAGAAAAGAAAAATATATGTACAATGAATGGAAAAAATAGAGAAGAAAGAGCTTCAAACAATATTAGAGGAATTAAAATAAGTAAATTAAAATAGCCTATTAAAGATCAGGAACACTATGTTTGGCTAAAGAGGAAAAGGTGAGCTATATTTTGTCAATCAGACTCACAACCTGAACACAAAATGTCACAAAGCAATTGAATGATAGAGAAATATAAATCTGACCAAGATTAGTAGGAAAAAAAATTGGAGCACAAAGAGTTTCAGGAAAATGGAATATAGGATGAAAAATAATAAAAAGGACAAAGAGGAGATTTCCTATGGATAGAATGCTCTATTCCTACTGATATGACCCTCTAGGACCAACTTGAGCTACCTGATCACAATTCTTGCCTGACATTTTTGAAATCTTGTCATTAGAGTTGGATGTCCTTGTCAAGTTAATGAAAAAAACAAAGCCACTGCTTTCATGGAGATTTTGTTCTGGAAAAAGCAGGTGGGTGCACACACACACACACACACAAACTAATAATCAAACTATATGGAATGTCAGTGGTAATAAGTGCTAAGTGTTGAAAGGAAGCATAGCAGAGGTGTCATTTTAAATGGGGTAGCCAAGGAAGACTTCACCAGGAAAATGGTCAAAGACTTTCCAGTTGCCGAGGAAGGAACCATACAGACTTCTGAGGGAAGAGAATTTCAGGCAGGGGGGACAGCAAGAGCAAATGGTCACTGAATATAAAGTTAAATAAATTAACTATGGAGGGGCTAGTGAGGTAAGTGGGATATCAGGAGTGTAGCATCAGAAGCCAAGTGAAGACGGTGAAATAATGAGCTGTGTCAAAACAGCAGGTGTACCAAAGAGCAGGGGGACTGAGAAAGGGCCATGATTAAACTTAGCAAACAGAAGCCACGGCTGACTGTGACAAAAACAATCTCAGGGGAGCACTGGGAACCCAAATCTAAGAACTGGGCATAAGAGAGAAAATGGAATATCGAATACAGTCAACCATTTCAAATGGATTTGCCATAAAGAAAAGCTGAGGAGAGGGCAGGGCCTGGAGCAGGCGGTGGGATCAAGGTGGGAGAGAGTCAAGAGTGGGAGGAAGAAGACCTGGGCATCCATGAAACAAATGAGGTCCCCTCCAGAATAATATTAGGAAGTTTCAAAATAAACATGAGAGCAGCCACCTGAGAAATCGCCTAACACAAATGATTACTGAAAGGAAGGGAATTTAGAAATGCTTGAGATTCAATCAAGGAAATCAGAGCTAAAGAGGATTGTGTTATAACTGGATTGTGTTATAACTGAAAGAAAGCCTACTCAATGTATTTTACCCATGAAGGAAGACTGTACTAAAAGACAAGGACTCAGTTTGAGCAAGATTCATAATAGGAGAGACAAAGTAAAGCAATGTATTTCCAGCAATGTTTACAAAAAGAGGATACTGAGTGAAATTGAATTTGGGTGCATTTATAGATATATTTTTCATCTTAATTGTAAAGATGGATGTGTTGGGGAGTTATTAGGTCATTAGGATTATCCATGTGATTTCAGGATCAGAAAGCAACCTTATTAGTGGAGTTTTCCATGTAGATTCCCTACAAGAGGACACTGTACTTATCAGGGGGCTTGAGTGTCTAATCCCAAGGGGATTTAGCCAAGATATATTAACAAATTGTCATTCTGATTTATTCTGTATTTTCATGAGAGTTTGGTTCTAGTAGTCAGAAGCTTGGAACTGTCTGGATATATAAAAGCAAATGGACCAAACTTTGAAATGACCCTGAGGTAGAGCAGAGCCAATCATTAGTAGGCCTCTCAAATGCCACCCATAAACCAGGTGAGGAGGTACATGCCTGTAATTCCAGCAGTTTGGGAGGCTGAGGCAGCAGGATTGGGAGTTCAAAGCCAGCCTCAGCAACTTAGCGAGACCCTGAGCAACTTAGCAAGGCCTGGGCAACTCAGCAAGACCCTGTCTCTAAATAAAAAATAAAAAGGGCTGGGGATGTGGCTCAGTGGTTAAGTACTTGGGCTTCAATCCCTGGTACAAAAAAAAAAAAAAAAGATAAAAAATGTCACACATACCTTATTCCTTGTCCATCTAACCATATGCTTGAAATATTGAACTAAGGAAGGGGCACTGGAGTAACAACTAGAAAACGATCTAGGTCTCTGCCACCACTAGTCTGGCAACACCATCCGGTGAGTGCCATCCATTCCTGCGGTCCTCAGTTCATATTGTCTTTGCAAATGGGAGTAACAATAGCTGTTCTATCACAATGGTTTGTTTTGAGGCTCAGAATTTAAGTCTAAAACAAACGGCTATATGAACAGAAGATATTAATGCTCTCATCATTACATGCCCTAAAGCCTGAGTGTATAATTGGTATACTGAAGCACATTACCACAATTATCCGAGAATTGAAGACAAGATGAAAAACCACGAACCCACTGAAGAAAATCTGGGAAATCCTACCTCTCAGCAACTGGTTTGGCAATGTTTTCAAAAATGATCTCTTGCTTTGCATCTTGATCAAAAATCCTCTGAAATCTGCAATGTGAAAGTGGTAATTATTTAAATGCTGAGCCTTCAAACACTATTGGATTAATAAATCTTGTTTTTCTAAAGCTTTGTAAATGACCCCACATTTACATCATCGGGCTTACCTAACTTAACACAATGTTTGTCCTGTAGTTCCACCACACTGTGCTCTTGTACTCCTGTATACAAATGGTGGGTAAACAGTATTGCTTTGACAAGAACTGCACAATAAATCCCTCTGAAAAGCTGCAGCAGCTTTGAACCAAATAATAAACTGTGTGTTTTTTAGCTCTCAAGAGGGACAGTGTCTACAATTGGCATCAAATTCAAATTCAGATAACTGCATGAAATGGAAACCCAAGAACAGGATGTAAACCGCCAAAGAACTTCTGATGTCTGACCTGTGAGAAAATGGGGGCAACTGTGAATTGTATCATTATTGAATTTAATTTAAAAATTAAATTGAACTGAAGTTAATGTCCCACTAATTAGGTACCAGTATCAACAATGTCAATTCTCAAGATGGCATTGTTTCATTTTATTGACCAAGATTCAAAAGTCAAAAAGTAAACTAAGATATATCTGTTCTGCAAAGAGAAGTCTTTATTAGATTGGCAGTGACCGGGGAATGGGAGGTGGTGTGGTGTCAGTTTCACTCTTCTCCGGTGCCACTCTGATGAGTACAGGATTGCAAGCACAGAGGAATAATTTGGGTAGGAGACACATCTATTCTTTTGCAGTGAGGTAAGGTACTACCAGCATGTATGGCCCCCATGAAAACATTGCAATAATGAGACGAGGAAGGCGGGCTGGGAGGGGGGACAGAGAGACCAACCAAAATGTTAGCAAAGGGTGAATCTCCCACAAAGAGTATATGAATGTTGACTGGGTTGTTCTTCCACCTTACATATTTAAATTTTTTCAAAATAAAAATTGTAGAAAGGAAAACTTTGAAGCAAAAACTTTAAAACAAACACTTTGAGGACATCCTGAGCAGCTCTCAGTGTAGCACAGGAACCTCTGGTCTACATGCCTGTCTACTCAAGTAAATTGGCATCTCTTCAATCCAAGTAGAGACTGTAGGTGACATACAAACATGTTTTCACTACCAGGGACTTCAGAAGGGTGTCTAGAGGTGGACTGGAAATATAAAACGTTAAGAAATTTGTTTTTAACCAAAATTAACTTCAAAGGATCCTTATAGCTGAACCACATTTGTTTTTGAAAAGTAAATAATGCAAGGAGATATCCTAAGGCATTTCTCCAGCAATGTGATTTTAGACAGCAGTCTTTACTGTTCAATGTGCTCAGACCACTCCTCAAAACCTGGCAGGTGTAAAACAGCTTCAGATATGAGTACCAGCATTATAGAGAGGTCGACATAACACAGGTCTCTCTATGCTCTTCAGAACATGGTCCACTAGGACATCTTAGTACAGACCCCTAGTGGTGCCTATGAGTAGATGGGTGGTACAGAAAGCTAGCTGGATTCTTTTATCAGGCTGATGATGACTGAGTGAATCAATTAGCCATTCCTGACCACATGTCTTTGCATAATAGGAACTATGTCTACTACTACGTAATCAAGAAATGGCAGGAGTTTTAAAGAAGACATTGAATCAAACACAGAATGCACTATAAAAGATATATTTTGTAAAATAATTAATTATGGTATATTCATTTACTAATCTATTTGTTTCACAAATATATAGTGAGTATCTATGTACCAAACATTTTTAATGAGCTTTAGGTGAGAAGTTACCTATAAAACACAGTGAATTCCTTGGGAAAACATGACATTCTCCACTATTTACAATAGCAGATGATAGAATCACAAGCAATTCAGAGCCCTCTGTTTATTGGCCCGCCCCATTTTAGAATGAGGATTTTGGCATCAAACTTTATGATAAGTCATTAATTGTACATTAAGGATAAAATAGTATCATCCCAAATATTTTACTTTTTCTGACATGGTGGCATAGCAATCTAAAAAGGCATTTTGATCAGCTATTTTCTGAAAACAAAGAGCAAAACAGAATCACAGAATTAGGAGAGATTCTATCAGTTTTGTGTAATTGCTTATGAGGAAGAAGTTTAGATCCACAGAGATGAAGTAGTTACTCATGGTCCTAAAGCCCATCAGTAACATGTCTTGAGACACAACTGGAGATATCTGATTTCTAGGAGGTCCTTTCATTTATTAAGATGTTAGGTAGGATTTTTCTGAACTCCATTTCAAACTCAGCAAATACTGATCCTTTTGTACCCCAAACCATTCTTCCTGCAATCTTCCTCACCCTCCACCCCAACTCCATCTTTCTAAATGCTGAGTCCAAAATCCTTCAGGCACCCTTGACTCTTTCTCTTTATATTGCACTCTATATTCAATCTACTAGCAAATTTTACCAGCTGTGACCTCCAAAATACATCCATAATCCAATTACCGTCATCACTTGGTATCCTTGGGGAACTGGTTCCAGGACCCCCCATGGATACCAAAATCCAAAGATATTCACATCCCTTATATAAGCTGACTTAATATTTCCATATAATCTATGCACATACTCCCCTATACTTTAAATCATCTCTAGATTACTTAGAATGCATAATATAATGTAAATGCTGTGTAAATAGTCATTAACTATATTGTTTAGGGAAAAAAAAAACAAGAAAAAAGTCTATGTGTGCTCAATACGCCCTTTTTTGTTTGTTTTCCCAATATTTTCAATCCACAGGTGTTTGGATTTGAAGAACTGCAGATATAGAAGGCACACTGTATTTCTTAACATTTCTACCCTGGCCCAAGCTACCATAAATTCTAGTCTGGTTTTCCTTACAGTCTATCAAGAGTGATCCTGCTAAGACTTAGGTGAGATCATTTCATTCTTTTGCTCAAAACCTTCCCTTGCCTTCCATGGCACTTAAGGGAAAAACTCAAGTGCTCACCATGACTCACAGGGCTCTATATGATCTGCTCGCTCTGTGCTCCTCAACTTCTCTTCTCCCCCTTAGTCCCCTTGTTCACTGCACTCCAGCCCCACAGATCCCTTTACCTGTGTCCATCCCCCTGCAGAGACGTTGCTCATGCTATTCCCTTGGCCTGGCATTATCATCCCTCAGCTATTTGCATGGCTGGTTTCCTCTCCTCTCTTTCCTGCCTTACTTTTCTTCATGGCACTTAACAATTTCTGACATGCATTTATTAATTTGCTTGTCTGTCTCCTCCCACTAAAATATAAGCTCCAGAAGAACAGCAGCTTTGGTGCATGTTCCCTACTGTATTCCTAGCAATGAACACAGCATGTGGTGGGTAGTCAATAAATATTTATTGATTGAATGAGTTTTCTTAGGAGAAAACAGCCTTCAAAATGCTTAAATATTTATCACTGAATATATGTATAAGTTGAATATTTTATTTTATCTTAAATATTAAAACCAATATTTTAAATTCAGATATCTAAAATATAAGCAAATGGTGCTCTTTCCATAAATATATGTTTAAATGCCCTGTTTCTATAAAATGCAAAGAATACTTTAGAAAGGGTCCATAGATAAAGATATGATCAGTTGTTTTTTTTAATACCTTTATTTTTATTTATTTGTTTTTAATGTGGTGCTGAAGATCAGACCCAGTGCCTCAGGCATGCTAGGCAACTGCTCTACCATTGAGCCATAACCTCAGCCCTGATCAGTTGTTCTTAAAATAATGGGATCATGCTGAATCAAATGTTTCAACAAAGTGTTGCTTTATAGAGATTGGCTTAGACCAGCTACCAACTGCCATGAAGTCATAGCTATTTAGGTGAGTAGCAGGCTTACATCTTCTAGAAGAATGCCCCTTCTGCAAAAGTCAATCATGTATTATAGGATGCTTCTTAAAGGAGTTAAAGAAAGGCAATGGGGATCTCATAAGACAAGGCAAGGACCACCTCACTACACAACCACGTGTTAGCAATCCTGCTTGTACTTGCTGTAAAAGGAGACAAATGAAGAAGATAGGGTGGGTGTGGAAAGAGATATATATGAAAGAGACAAAATGTAGAGATACAAAGATCAAGGAGAATTCTCTATGAGCCAAAAAATAAAAGCAAATAAGAACCTGAAAAAGACAGGAGCTGGGGGTGTAGCTTAGTAGCGAGTGTGTGCTTAGCATATATGTGGCCCTAGGTTCAATCCCCAGCACTGAAAAAGACAGAAAAGGCAAGGGGAAGCATGGGTGGGGGCTGGAGAAAGAGAGAGAGACAGACAGACAGACGGACAGACACAGAGAGTCAAACAAAACTTTAAAGTGTCTGGGATAGTTTTGTCCAAAGGCCAGGGCAGGATAGTCTCAAAACAGTCTAGAGATAGATGCAAGTGAATAATTAGGATTCCTTCAGTTAAGTCTAGAAATCTACCACCAAAATTTGTGTTAGAGATCACATATGCATTTAACTTGAGCTCAAACTTCTCCAGAAATCAAAGGTGGTGATCAAAAGAAATGCCTTAATCTGAAATTTGAGAATAAAGACAGTGTGAAATATATATCCATAATCCTCCCAAATTCAAAGACTGGCTACTATAAAAGTATTCAGACCAAAGGCACTGTGATTATCCACGGGTGGCCCATTGGTACTTTCCACCCAGACGCTATGATTCAGCACTGCCCAAAAGGAATATAATGTAATCCATAAATGTGAGCATATATGTAACTTAAAATGTTCTAGGAGCTTGGCTTTTGAAAAAAGTAAAACAAAATAGGTGAAAATAATTAGAGTAGTATAGTTTAACCCAATACATCTAAAATTTTATCATTACAATATATAATAGATATGAAAAATTTAACATAGTTCATATTCTCTTTCTCTTTCACATATTGAGCTTTCAAAAAGCCTTCATGTATTTTATACTTTACAAAACATCTTTTTTTTTTTTTTTTTTTTTTTTTTGTGGTGCTGGGGATCAAACCTAGGGCCTTGTGCATGTAAGGCAAGCACTCTACCAACTGAGCCACATCAGCAGCCCTGACATCTAATTGTTGACTAACACATTTCAAGAGCTCTAGAGGCACAAGTGGCTTATGGCTATTAACTGGACAGCATAGATATCAAGTGTATGTATGTGCATACGCAATCTGTGTATCATATTTTAAAGAAGGGGCTTACCTAAACAGTACACAAGATTATACCTAAAGGTCTTATCTTGAAAAAAGTTTAGTTGTTCATTGGAATTTCCTGTAAGTGCTAAAACACAGCAGGCTGAATATAGAAAAGATAACATCAGATAAACAGAGCTTAAAGAAAGGCTGAAATCCTGGAATATAATCTCAGATAAAGAAATATGTCCTCTTTCAACCTTAAGCACAGCAGTGAACTTGTGTTCCTCCTCCAAATGAGACAGCCATACTACTTTCTCCACAAGAAACGGGGCTAATGAGTTCACAGAGAATATTAATGCAGGACAAAAGCTAGTCCAATAATGAAATAGGAATGAAGCAAAAGAAAGATAAACTTACATAAATTTGTAGCTTTCTCGCTTATTATTCACAAATCCATCTGCCAGATCACGAGGTATGATAATTTCCAAGCAAGGTGTTAAATTTTCATCATCATCTATGGAATAAATCTGTAAATATAAGAATAAATATAAAATGGTGAAATCACAGCTTGAACTATGACTGTATTATTATGACTTGCATAATAATGGTATAAAATTGTACTTTTAGATAAAATGTCAAGGACTGGGAAGTAATTCAGTGGCAAAGTGTCTGCCTTGCATTCAAAAAGCCCTGGGTTCGACCCCTAGTTCCAAGGGGGAAAAAAAGATAAAATGTCAAAACAGTATAATTTTCCTCATTGAAATGTGTGCACTCAGACAAATATATGGAACATAACAAGAGGTAAAAACCTGAATCAATGCTATATCAAAACTCAGATCAGCTGGGCGCAGTGGCTGAGGCAGGAGTTCAAAGCCAGCCTCATCAACAGCAAGGAACTGAGCAACTCAGTGAGACCCTGTCTCTAAATAAAATACAAAAATAGGGCTAGGGATGTGGCTCAGTGGACGAGTGCCCCTGCGTCAATCCCCAGTACCAAAAAACAAACAAACAAACAGAAAACAAAACAAAAACTCAGATCATCTCTGAATGATCTAAACACTCAAATTTGAGAATTTGAATGTTTCTGTTGTCACTGAAAAATAGCCCTGAAAGTAGCATATTATCTAAATATTGCTTTGGTATTTATCAAAAATAACATTTTACTATAACAATAAGCATTTCTGAGTATTTACAAACTACTAGACACAGATACAAGAATGAGAGTAATCTGAGCCTTCTCACAGAGCTGTGAGAATGCTCAAATTTAAGTTATGTTCAAAGAAGCCCAAGCTTCCATAAAATATATTCAGACATTTGATAAGACATGGGGCTTCAGAAGATACATGTACTTCATGTCTTTGATGTCATTTTCAACCCAGCCCAGCCACTAATTGGCAAGTGACCTGGGAGAAATCACTTAGCCTCTCTAAGCTGATATGGAAATGGAGGTCTTAATCAAAGCCCTACACTGTAACCTTCTCTGGTTCTCTTCTCAGTTACCTACTTCTTTATTTATTGGCCAGGAAAACCAAGACTCAAGCCTATAAAGAAATCATGTGGAAGAAGGAAAAGCATAATATTTAGTGTCCAAACACTGAGCTCAATTTACCAGCTGTGTGATCTGCCACCACTTTCAGAATCAAGGTTCCTTGTACATAAAGCAAATGAGAAAAACAGAATTGCCTCCCTTACAAGATTGCTGGGGGCACCAAATGATGTAATGGAAATGGAAGTATTTTGTAATGCACCATAAAAAAATCATTCATTAGATTTAGAGGATTTTTTTTTAAAAAAGGTCTTTCACCAAGAAATAAAATTTTTTTCTAACAAGCAATACTTCCTGTTTAAGACCCATTTAGATGCTTGATTATGGGAGGAAAGTCATATTCCTAAGCAAGTAAATGTCCCCCTGAACCTCCAAAAGTATGAATAATTTCCTAAGTGGATTTTTATTGAAAACTCTCATTTAAAATGTGAAAACTTCAGGTACAAAAGTGGCTTTGTAAAATAAAATTGTAGAAAGTATGAGAACCAGGTTCAAGGCTTTCTGGCTAGATTTTCTCAAGAGGCATTCAAAGTATATCCTATAGGACACTACATTACCAAATCTCCCTCCCCGGAAAAAAAAAAACAGTTTAATAACTACAGGTAAGTGTGTGAAACACCAAACATGCAAAAGTAAGGAGTGCCATGCATTTTTAAAAGTCTATTTCTACCTGTTCTCAGCAGACAAAAAAAAAAAAAAAAATCTGATGGGTAGGAACAATGGCTCCTTGCTATCTGCCCCCCTTTACTCTGATTAAGCCAATCTTGAGTCATTAAGAAAACCAGGAAAACTTAGTATAATATACTGGCTTTCAACTCTTAGTCATAAAAATATTTATTATCTAAGATAGGCTAGTTATTTTTAGAACAAATGCAAGGATAAATATGAAAATGTTTTTGAAATGTACAAAGTACTGTAGAAATGGAAAGTGCTGCCATTGCTAAAATTATCAGATCCATACAATATATCTTCTTTATTAATCTACAAATTATTATAATTTAATATATGTCTTAAGGAATAGGATTAATATACAGCCTTTGAATCATTCTTGGTTTAATACTACAAATAGCATTTGTAGTCAGAGAAATAATCATAAAATCTTTTATAGACAAAAAGATCCAGTGCTGAAATATGGAGTTTCTAAAGGAAAATAGGAATATACTAATTCTGCATTTATTCATTCCCATTCTTTTTGCGAATGTAGCATGTAACATTTCAAAGAATCTGATACCATGAAATGCAACACAGCATCTAAAGGTACCTCTGGAGGATCAAGTAATCCATGTCTTAGACTCATCTAAGTGGGAAAGGAGGCGCATTAAAAGAGCCAAACCCTGCATTTTAAGAAAAGAGAAAGTTAGGGGTTGCTGATGTTGCTGAGTGATAGAGCACATGTCAGGTAGAGACAGACAGAAAGATAGCAATATTAAATCCAGGCCTCTCCATTAATTTCCCAGCCTTACTCATCTTCTCATTTTGCCAGAGCATCTGCTTTTGACTGCAAAGTCTCTGTAAACTCAATGCTTTTAGTCAAGACAATGTGGGTAGATGTTTCATACAATATACTTTTTACATGCGTTTTATACGAACTTTAAGAAAATCTTTGTGTAGGTGATTATAAAATAAAGGAATAAATGGGAAGATACTATGGTTCTTCCCATACTGCTTTATATCTTTAACAAAATGTTCTTTGAGTCTTCTTATGCATCTTTTGCTTAATGTACTCTACAAGAAAGAGTTATCATCATCATGATGATAAACATTGATTTCTCCTTGTTTTAAATATGTAAGTTATATGACGCAAATGCAAAGTTATTAGTTACTATGATGTTATATATATAATATATATATATACACACTATATATATATATATATATATATATATATATATAAAATAAAACATAAATAAAATACCTACTCTAGGAACTAACAAGTATGACTCAAGTTGCCCTTGCCTAAATTCTCACTCTGGGAATGATTTTTTTTTTTTTTTTTCCTGCCTGAAACAGGAATAGCTAGCTTAGGGGAGGGGGCGCTGGAATGCTTAGTTAAAATCACAGTTCTGCAACTCACCAGCTGGATACTCTGGTCACATTATTTAATCCAAGAGACTCAGTTTCCTCATTAAAATGAGGGAAATGACACCCACCTTGCAGGGTTCTTGAGAGGATCAAAAAGTGCAGATAAAGCACGGGTCAAGTAGCAATTTCTCAAGACCTGGTAAGAATGCCTATATTCTCCTCTGGGCAAAGAAAACACTATTTTGAAACATTTAAGAAGATTACAAAGTATCTCTGCTCAGAGCCAAGATTAATGCCTTACTTAACATTCTTTGTAATCTGAATTAGCACACTAGAGAAAGCACCTAGTAAATACTCATAGATGTTTTCCGAATGAAGCATATATGTTATTCTGTGTGTCAGGGTGCATAAATATATCTACAATGAGTATACATCAAAATCACGTGTTTGTTGCAGAATGACAATATAGACAAGAAATTCCTGAGGGCCCACTGACTGCAAAGTATTAAATATGTGTATGCTTTGTGTATCTGTTTATATTTGTATGATTTCAGACATTTAGAAGCATGCATCTCTTACACATATTTTGCCCCAGTGGGAAAACACGTTTCAGTGTACCTGTGTGTATGGAGTTGTGACAGTTTCCCTGAAAAGTGCGGTAAATGCCTGGGTATGATTGAGGCGCAGTCTCTGTGAGTGCGCAAACAGGCGAGCCTGCCCTTCGTGGGCACTTGTGCTCTGTGCCCGGTTTGCGGCCGCAGGGCTGTGAGGGGTGGAAATGGACTGGGTGACTGTCGCGTCCCTCACAGCGTGCAGCGGCGACGGCGTGGCCGCAGGGGCTCTCGGTCAGTGCGTGCGGGATTCCCGGCCGCACCCGCGCCCTGGCCGAGCCCTCTCCCGGGGGCCGGACCCTCACGTGCCCCACACCCGCGGCCTGGAGGCCCCACCGCGCTGGCGACCCCGCCGTACCCCTGATTGCTGCTTCCGAGCAGGGGGCTTTACCCTCGCGAAAATCTGGATCGTCTGCTTCACCATCTCTTCCCTGGCTCTGCACTGACCCTTGACCTCTTTCAGGCCTTAGCTTCCAAAACTTGTTACTCCCACCACCTCCCGCTCCCCTCAGCCTTAGCAACAGTAACTAGGAACACTACCCAACGAGCACCGCGGCATCCAGGACCCCGCCTCCTCTCCCTAATTGGTCGAAGACCAGGAGGGACGGCCCTAAGGGAGAGGTTGAGGGGTGGAGTTGGGGCGGGGCCGAGAGGAGAGCAGTGCGCTTGCGCGTGGGCAGGGCTCTGGGGAGAGTGGTTGGAAGTGATAAGTGCCTTGTGTACCTTGCCTGGTTCCTTAACCCGTTCCTTCCTCGTGTCTTCGCCTCTTTTTATCACTGAGATCATTTTTGCATTTTTATCGTGCCCTCATTGGAGAAATGATACTTGACCTGTGACACGCAGTATCCTGGCTGAGAATCTCGAATCGAGCAAAACTGCCCGGGACCCACTTGGAGATCAGGGTCTGAAGAATCACAGAAAGTTACAACCCAGGGAAAATTTCTATGCTAAGATAGGGTTAAGCACGGTATTCCGTCTAGCTCTGTTTCGGAAGGATAAGACTGGAGGAAGGGGATTGCCTCCCATTTAAGTCATGTCAAGAAAGAATGGGCTTCTCAAAAGACACTTTAGTATCCACAAAGATGCTCAACCTCGTTATCCTCCAAGGAAATATAGATTTAAACCACAGTGAGATATATCACTATGCATCTATCACAATGGCTGAAATGCTGACAAAGTTGCAGAGAAAATGAAATCACTCATACTTTACTAGCGGAAATGTTCGTATACTATAAAATGGTTTGACCCTTTTTTCCAAACTGAAAGTGCAATTACTCTGAGACCTGGCAGTTGCACTCTTGGGCATTTATCCCAGAGAAATGAAAACTTGTGTTTACACAAAAACTCTAATGTGAACATTTTCAGCACCTTAATTTATAAGAGTCCCAAACTGGAAATAACTCAGGTGTACTTCAGCTGATGAATGGTTAAGCAAAGTGAGAAATACTGCTCATCAATAACAAAGACAGAACTATTGATATATTAAACAACTTGGATGAACTTCCAGGGAATTCGATTGTGTAGAAGAAGCCAAAGTCAGAAGTTAAATACTGTATGATCCCACTTATATAACAGTCTTGAAATGACAAAATTACAGAGATGGAGAGAAGATTAGTGGTTGTCAGGGAGGTAGAGAGGGCACGAAGTGGCTATGGTTGTAAAGAAATCCTTGTGATGTACTGTTCTGTATCTGACTGGGATGGTGGTCACAGAAATCCACACATATAGTAGCATTGCATGGAACAAAATACACACACACACACACACACACACACACACACGTGCATGGAAAGCCTTCAAGTCAAACAAGTTGGAATAAGATCAATGATTGTAGCAGTGTCAATTCCCGGATTGTTATATTATACCACAGCTATGTAAGATATTACTATTGTGGGAAACTGGGGGAAGGGTATGCAAGTTCTCTCTATTATTTTTTACAACTACATGCAAATCTACAATTATCTCAAACTAAATAGCTTTTTAAAGAAAATGAAAAGGCAAACCACAGACTGGGAGAAAACTTTTGCAAAGCATAAGTGATAAGGGATTTGCACCCAGGATCTATATAAAACTTTTCAAACCAAACTCAATTGATAGAAAAATACACAATCCAATTTAAAAAAAGAGGGGGGCACAGCCAAAATATTTAAACAAACACTTTACCAGAAGGATATATGAAGGCTGGAGTTGCAGCTCAGTAGTGGAGTACTTCTTACTTACCTAGCAGGCACAAGGCCCCTGATTCAATCTCTAGTATCACCACACACACACACACACAGAGAGAGAGAGAGAGAGAGAGAGAGAGAGAGAGAGAGAGCCTGGCAAATAAGCACATGAAATTGATGCTCAATATCATTTATCATTATTGAGGTGCCAATTAAAACCATAATGAGACATTACAACATGCCCCTTATGAAGGCTAAAAATAAGAAAATGAAACTGTCAATATCAAGTGCTGGTACAGACACAACATCTAGAACTCTCAAACATCACTAGTAAGAAAGCAAGATAAACCAGCCACTTTGAAGAACAGTTATACTTACCACAGGACGAAGCAATCCTGATGCCAACATGGGAATTTTGACTTGATGACAGTAGAGATGAAAACAAGTCAGGGGAGAGAACACACAGGCAAGGATTTTATTAGGACTTCTACTAAGAGAAGGGACCAGAGTGTGAGGCTGGCTCCCCAAAGGAAAGGGTTAATTTTATTTTTGTGAAAGGGTTTTTTTCAAGGGAGCTAAGGTTTAGGAATGTTAATTGTCTTTGGATAAATTTAAAAAGGTGTGTGTGTGTGTGTGTGTGTGTGTGTGTGTGTGTGTGTTCTATGAGAGCACTTTAACTGAGGAAGGCAAGGTCAGTGGTCATTCTGGAGTCAAATATTAGTTTTTCACATCCACGCTGTGTTCTGTATAAGCATCTCCTTCTTGTGATAAGGACAAGTTGCTGTAGCTGTTAAAAGAATGCACAGGTGGAAGATGGAAGAGAACATAAATCATGGCCAGTAACAAGTTAAGGGCCCTGGGAATTTGCCATCTTTATGACTCCTCAATGGTTTATACTTTATGTTGTTTGTCCTTGGAGGGTCATGGCAAGAGCGTCCTGGCCCTAATGAGGCACCTGGTCTCTGAAGCTATTCAGGTGTTTGAGGAATGGGTAAGGCACATACCAGGCTTATAATACCTAAGAGGCCATGAGTTAAGGTGGGAAAATAGACCCAAAGGCTTATACCATCTCCTAATGGTTGTCCTGCTATGAGTTAAGACCCAGTAGTGCATTCGCCCTTTGTCCCTATGCTGGTCTCTAACTGTCTAGTTCGTGTGCCTAAATATTTACCCAAGTGAAATGAAGACACACAGAAATCTAAACAGGAATATCTATTCCTAATTGCCAAACACTGTAAACAAAGTAAAATGTTGTTCAACTGAAAAAAATAGATAAGCAAACTGGTACAGCCATACAATAAAAGGGAATGAACTGCAGGTGCCCCCAAGAGCATAGTTAAATCTCAGATTGATTATTCTGAGTGAGAAGTGCCTAACTCAAAGTTTATACACATTTAAAATTCCATTTATACAACATTCTGGAAAAAGGAAAAACTATAGGGATCCAAACAGATCAGTGGCTTCCAGGGGCTGGGAGTAGGGAAAGGGGTTGACTGCAGTGAACATCAGAGAGGTGTGTATGTGGGAGATGATGGACCTGTCTCATATTGTGATTGTGATTGTGGTTGTGGTTACATGACTATATGAATTTGTCAAAACTCATATAACTACCTATATACTTAAAAGAGTATACTGTAGGTTAATTATACCATAAAAAGAAAAAGAAGGGGAAGAATGGGGTATGAACAGGTGTAGCAGTACCTACAGATGGAAGAGGAAGCAGGTATTTATTAATTGACTTTGAGAGCTTTTTACCTAGTGAGGAAGTGATCATTCAAGATTGGACAATCTGGCATATGTTGCAGGTATTTACCTGGACAGTTAAAACTGATTCAGTTGGGGGAGAGGGAGAAATGAGAAGCTGGGGGCATGATAAAGTTCAAGGGCCTATGGAACTTTAACAGGGAGTTGGATAAAGTTTAGGAGAAAGCTGTGGCTGAGAGTATGAATTTGGGAATCCTCACAAAGACCTGTTTCCAGAAACTAACCGAGTTATTCAAGAAGACTGAGTCTGAAATGCTAACACCAACAGTTGGAGGAGCAGAGGAGGCCACACAGGAAGCTGAAGAGAGTGGCTGGCAAGGTCTTTGAGAGAAAATGGAATGTTACATGGAAGTCAGGGGAAGAGAACATTCTGAGAGGAAGAAAGTGTTCAACAGTGTCGGACACTAAAAAGGATGTCCTAAAAATATCCGTTGGACTTAGCAGCCAGAAGGCATGAGTGATCTAGATGGTGGTTTCAGTGGCGTAGTGGGGTCAGAAGGCAGGTTGTAAGACATGGAGGAGCAAGTGGGAGGTTAGGAAGTGGAGGAGGCCAAGATAGGCGACCTCCTGCAGAAGCTTGCTTGCCAAAAGTTGTAAAGGAGAAAAACCCAGGGTAAAAGCTAGAGGAACCCAGAGTGAGGAAGGGTCTTTTGTTCGCCTCCAAGGAGGCAAATCTAATAGAAAAGGAGAAGATGAAGGTTACAGAAAAAGAGAAGGTGGAAGACGGTTTGCCCCAGAGCAGGTGGTATTTTAACAAGAGGGTACCATGAGAGTTCAGAGACAAAAGAGCCAAGGGTATGGGCCAAAGATCACTGTACGCATTGAATCAGGTCATCTCGGTTGATTGAAAGATGCCAGTGGCCTTTGATGGGAATTTACATTTGTTGGTTCAAAAAAATCCCTCCTGATCACAGCCTGACTGTCTCCCACCCACCTCCTTATTATTAGAGGAACAGGCAGGTTGAACAGGATTGGAGGAAAATCTATGGGTCCAGGAAGTAGGAACTTTAATATAAAGCTCTGGGTCACAGGATCAAACGCATTGATGAGGAGGAAGTATAGATTCAAATCCTGAGACTTGTCATTCCTGAGAGTGTAACCTTGGGAAGCAATTTATGTTTTCATGTCTCAGTTGGTTCATCCAGTATGTGGGGATGGTTAATAGCGACCTCATGGAGTTATCATAGAGATTAAATAGTGGCATGTTAGTAAAAATGTGTATGTGGGAGGTGATGGTACACTGGTACATAGTACTCAGTGAAGAGAGGACATTTATACACATAGGATTCTGATCCCTGGATTGGATTCCTTTGGGCTGTAAACACCTCCTAAAGAACATACACTATGGCACAAATATGTCTCTACGGCTCACTGGGATTGTAAACTCAAAACCTCCCACGGCCTAATCTGTGATGTAAATACCTTAAGCAGACAAGGAGAAGGAATAGGAATTGGGTAACAAAAAGGGAGTCTAGTGTCCCAACTAAAAAGCCAT